AGTTAGAAACATCGATGAGAGAGTCATCGATCAGCTGCCCCTTGCACACCCCCTACTGGGGATATGCCCGCAACCAAAGTACATGCCCTTGACTGGAATCGAACCCGGGACCCTTTAGTCCCCAAGCCGCCGCTCTATCCATTGAGCCAAACCGGTTTCGGCTCTCATCGATGTTTCTAACTCTATCCCTCTCTCTTCCTCTCTGTAAAAAATCAATAAAAATATATATATTTTAAAAAAACAAAACGTTTCAGTCCTGGCCAGTGTGGCTAAGTTGGTTGGAGCATCCAGTACACCCAGGATTGTAGGTTTGATTCCCAATAAGGGCACATAACTGGGTTTCAGGTTCCATTCCTGGTCAGGGCACATAGTGGGGTGGGGGAAGGGAAGGCAAAACACAACAGGTTTCCTGCATACCTGATTACACCCCATATGGAGTTTGTGCAGGGCTAATTCCTCAAGCTTGGAAACTAAGCTCTGACTCCCCCTACTGGATGTAGGATGGATTCATTGGCCCAAAGGACTTGTCTCAGTCTCCCCCAAAAAACTCTCCAGCACTCCCAACAACTCTGTACCTGCCAGTACTTGGAAAGACCCTGGAAAGGAGGACTTCCTGAGGAAGGATGTGATCATGGGACACTTTCTAGTGTCCTGAACTACACCTTAAAATTTTTTGACAGAATTGGTTATGAGTAATTTCTTTTTTGGTTGAAAGCAATTTTGATTTGAGTATAAGTTGAGACCTAAGCAGATTTTTAACAAAGGAAAGTGAAGTGAGAAATTTTGTTGTAGGCTTTTTGAGTAAAGGAGCAATCAAGATTCTCTTATTATTATTATACCTTCATTATTATTATTATTATTATTATTCCCTCCTTTATTATTAATTTCTTACAGCCAGCACATGTTGAAGAACAACTGGGAAGGGAGCATTTGAATTGACACTACTAGAAAGTACAGATAGGCCAAAGAATAAAAAAGTACCATTGACACTCTGCTGCCAAGAGACTACTGACATTCTAGTGATAACATTTTAGGTCTTTCCTAGACCTAAATATAGATATATGTGAACTTTACAAGATATCTTGCTTTAGAAGCTGGTTTGCACACACTATTATACTACATGTTTATTTTTCTTTATTAAATTTAATTTATTGGGGTGGCATTGGTTAATAAAATTATTCAGATTTTAAGTATACAATTCTACAGTACATCATCTATCTATTGTATTGTGTGTTTATCACTCCAACACCATTTATCCCCCCTTTACCTCCTTCTACTTACCCCTACCCCCTCTTCCCTCTGGCAATCACCATATGTTGTCTGTATCCATGTGTCTTTCTACTATATCATTATATGCCAGTAAATATAGATTTGTTTTTATGTACCATTTTTTAAAGTTTTTATTATGGAAAATTTCTAACGCCCATCCAAGTGGTTGAGTGTGGACCAACTAGTATGAACCAGGAGGTCATCATTTGATTCCTGATCAGAGCACGTGCCTGGGCTGGATCCCCAGTAGGGGCATGCAGGAGGCAGCCAATCAATGATTTTCTGTCATCATTGATGTTTCTCTCTCTCCCCCTCTCCCTTCCTCTCTGAAAATCAATAAAAATATATTAAAAAGAAAGAAAATTTCTAACATTACAAAAATACTAATCAACTCTTGGAGTGGTAGAAGCAGGGAACCTGGAGCAAAAAATGAGGTTCCAGAGCCTCTGCAAAAGGACCCGAAGGATGACCTGAGGAGCCAGTAAGCTATTTGAAATGAGTCATGTGGCCTGACAGGAAACAAGGAAGTTATTTCATGGCCTGGGAATAGGAACTGCTGGCAGGAAAGGGAGGAACCCCATAAAATCCACAAAGCCCTTCTGTGATACATACTTTGCTGGAAAGTCTCACTGGAAAATGGGAGCAGGGCCAAGATTCCATGGAGGCCAGAGGCCCAGGCCAAGCCCACCCCACATACTGTCACCTTTTTCTGAGCAAGTTCCATGAACATGCATCCCATAGTAACCAAAACCCTGAGGCTATGAAGCGTATCTTTGTTTTAATCTATCTCCCCAAAGTAATTTGACCACGGAACATTGTGCAAACACCAATGACTGTTCCATGGGTTGGGAATTCTAAAAATCCTCATTTTGGCAAAGGCTAATGCCAATCCCTTTCAATAACTCTTCTCTAGGAAGCCCTTTGAATTGCTTCAATTCATTTGCCTCCCCCTTCCTACTTTGCCCCCTTTAATCATATAGGTGCGAGTCATGTTTGCAAACAGTCTCTAAAAGGCTGGGGCAACGGCAGCTGTATCCAGCTTGTCCTGGAAAGGAACAAGTGCCATGTGAAACAGCTATTGCCTTGCCTTCCTTGCTCTGTGGCCCAGTGCTGATCCTCTTCCAGAGATGGCGGAGGAGGGTGGTATGACTTAGCAATCTGTCTTTCTTAGTTACAGCCCTCACCAGGCCCTGGGAAGAGCAGCATTCACTGTGTCTTATTACAAAGGGCAGCTGTGGTCCCAGCCTAAAAAAATGAAGTTTTCCCCCCAGAACACTGTGCACCCACTTTCACAGTCGTTCTCAGGACACCTTCCACCAAAATACATAGCGCCTATCACCAACCCGGTATAAGAGGTCAGCTTGTTCAAATCCATAGTAATTAGGAGCAAGGGCTAGTATACGCCATCCAAGTCAGCCTGTGTTTTTTTGTCAGAATTTTAAAAATTGATTTGAGAGAGATGGACTTATTTATTTATGCATCCATTAGTTGATTCTTATGTGTGTCCAACCCAGGAATGGAACCTACAACCTTGGCATATCAGGATGATGCTCTAATCCACTGATCTTCCTGGCCAGGGCCAAGCCTATATATGTTTTTCAAGCACCAAAGTACTTTCAGTGGGTATATCCACCTTCAACTGGATCCCTGAGATGGGGGCAAGAGCAAGTAGGTCTTAGTGTTTGTGTGTTTGCACTTGACCTGCCTTTAACCTTGAGTGAACTTGAGCACTTCCCTTCTGCTCTAAACAATTCTAGCACCTCAAACAGTAATTTAGGGCCTTTTCCCTGCTGCCTTTTGGCTATACATACTCACGCAAACCACTTTGCACTGAAATAATATTTATTTTTTACTTGGCAAAAAGTCAAGTGCTACATTTTTGAAAACAAAAAACTCAATCAAATGCATTACCCATCACAGCAGAGGGTCTGGAAACAGTACAAAACATTCTACTTAAGAACTTAAGATTTTTTTTTTTTAATATATATATACAAGTTGGTTTAAAATGATATAAGTTCTGTGAGAACTAAGAAATCTACAGCCTGTAGTTTAATAGAAAAAAAAAATTAAGACAATTAAAAGATCTTCAGCATCTAGCATTTTGCTTAATTCCCCGTTTATAGCACCTATTTCTCTAGGTTAGAAGATGAGAATTCTAGAACCTATGATGTATGTATTGTACCACCAAGACACGGTGACTTCTGACTTCCCTCCCACCAGCCCCCATCATCAAGACACTTTTTTCAATCTCCCCACTTACACCTGCAACAAAGAGGGATGACTAGGAGAGCAACGTAGGACCTGGAGTGCAGGAATAAACCTGACTTTTCCTTTCCCCAGAATGGGCTGTTGACAGAAGCCAAATATGTACTTCAAATGGAAGAGGAATACGTGGGTGGAGACAGCTGTTATCTGCAACATGATGCATAAAAGGCAGGACATCTCGTTCAGTCAGTTGCCTGCAAGTTTAAAAACCTCAGACTAAATAGTTCAAGGGTGGAACAAATTACTAATTACATCGAAGCTTTTAACATGCACAATGCTGGCCGATGTTGGCCACCCCATCAGCACCCCAGGGCTGAGCCAACCAAGTAGAAGAGATGGCTTCAAGCCCTGCCCCACTGTATTAACAAACGTTCCACACGAAGCGCACTCTATACACAGATAAAACCCCTATCACTCTTCCCTTCCTGGATTGAACCCAATTTAGAAAAAGTAAAACCCATTAGGAAGACCAGAAGAAAGGCAAAGTAGTTTCTCCTCAAAGCCAAGGGAACTGAGTATGCTAATTTTAGCTGACTTGAGGCCTCCAGCTCCAGGCCCCTGACACACCAGATAAGGTCTTGTTTGAGGGGACGGCAAAGGAGGCTGGGATGGGGATTTTCTTTACCAAGTTATATCAAGCCTTCTGCGGTCTCCCGAGCTGCATATGGATGGAGACTGGTGTTTTAGGGGCATAGCCACTGGCTAAGCAGACAAAAAGTTTAAGTGGAGGTGATGCATCAACAGAAGTGTTCTCACCTGGGGGACACACAGATGGAAAGACAGGTAGGGGATGGATCATTTTAAGAGTCCCCAGGAAGTCTGCAATCTAACTCAAAAGGTTTTCCTGATTTTTCTTTGTTTTTTACTTTTTATAATCAGTGTTATTAGACTTTAAAAAACAAGATAAAGACTAGTCCCAAAGCTGGACTCTGTGAAGAAAGTTGTTTCTTTTATAAATATTTTAATTACAAGTAATCCTCACTCCAGGTAATTTCAGTAACACACAGTACTTGCAGGTACACAAGTTCACATGCACACATGAACACATAGCCCCCAAACTTTCACAGAAAGTCTGACAGCAACCACATAATTGTAAAGGAGCCCTACCTCTCAAGAATGAAGTAAGGGCGAGAGTGACTATGTCAGCCTAAAGAAATCACAGAGGGGAAAGTGTGTGTCACTGGGAAAAAAAAAAAATACAAGTAGGGATTTAAAATGTTTGGATGAGAAGCCAGAAAGAAAAAACAAAGTAAAATTCTGATTACCAAAATGGAAAAACAAACCAACAAAACCTTCAGATTTCTATATGGAGCTTCTTTCTGTCAAAGAACCTAAATAATAGGCAAACTCGTGTTCCCACTAATATGAGGGCCTCACACAATTGGAAAAAATCAAAAGAAGAAACAAGGAAACAGAGGATGGAAGTTAGTGTAAATCTCTGCATTTTGGGAAAGAGTTAGTTGTCATTAACTCCAGAGCCCAGCATAGTTTCCATGGAGCCCTGAAGGGAGAGGACCCCCTGCCACAAAGAGTTTTGTTCCGGATGAGTCGTAGCAGTGGGTGTAAACAGCATTGGGGAAGAAATCAATGTCTGAAAAGTAATTCCTCCAGGTTTCATCATGATTCTATGGGAAGAGAAAGAGACTGTTAGCACCTCTAGGTCATGGAGCAGGAAAGGACAGGAATGCTTTCTGGTCTCTTTAAGAGCAGAGGGACCTGCACCTGTTACCTGATGTCAGGAGACTGATGCATATGTGAATAGGGACCTCACTTTTCCAAATGAACATTAAAGAGGAAGTGAGCAGGCTGAAGAGTTGCTACACAAATTGAAGGTCGTCTCAAGACAGCTAGAATCAAACTCTAAGAAATCACCCCTAATGCCCTGGCAGCCTCAGCAGCATGTTCCTTCTCCTTCCTCCTCTTTTATCACCTGGGGCAGGGGTGGGGAACGTCCAGCCCGTGGGCCGTATAATGCCTGCAAAATCATTTGGTTTGATCCTGCCAAGGCATTAAGGGTGAGTTAATGAAATATTTGACCAAATATATATAGCAGGCTAATTTTTAAGTTAATTTTGTATGGCCCACAAATTATGTTATAAATGTTCAAATGGCCCTTGTCAGAGAAAAAGGTTCCCCACCTCTGACTTTGGGGGAAACCCTATGTCAACTAGGGTGTATTATTGGGCCTGTTTTCTGAGGGATATGCAGACAGAAAAGCAAAATCAAGTGAAAGTACCTCTTGTCCAAGAAATGTCTCTAACTCATGCAAAAGTATGTGGGTAAGGGTGTGTCAGTGGGAGTGGGAGTGGGTAGTACAGCAAAGACAATTTTTCTGTCTCTGTCTAGTAAACATGTCGGGCAGGAGCTTACTTACCAGCCAGCCTTTGCCAGTGGTTAGTTTCAGATTCTCCCCTGCTAGTCTGGGCTTGGACCCATAACAAGCCGAGAGCCTCTCTTCTAGGAATCTCTGAGCTCGGATGTCATAGAACAGCAGGGAGCCGTGCCCTGTGCCTACAGTGATGATGTGCTCATAGAAGCTCACTGATCGGATCCCTTAGAGAGAAAAAAGTAAAGGACACTTAAAAAAGTAAAGGAGGAGCATGCATGTAAATCTGTTCATCTGAATTTCTCTGACACCGAGTTCACATAGTATCCCCAAATACCAGGCAGCGCCTTTCCTATGGCAGCAGAGTTCATGAGAAAGCTGAAGAACCCTGATGCCATACTGCCATCCATATATAATATCGATAGCTAACAGGAAACTTCCTGTAATCCTCAGAGAAAGGCCAGACACCTGATGGTGCCCAAGATGCTTTTAGCCTGATATTGTAAGTGCACTCTGAACCTCCTTGCCTCCCCTAGACTCAGTCTGAAGTTATCAGTCATAACTCGAAGCTCTTCTCCACTATATGTTTCTAACTTATACGGAAACTGAGACCTGCATATTTACAAATCATTACATTAATAAAGACTTTCTTGCCAGGCTAATGTGGCTCAGTGGTCAAGCATTGACCCATTCACCAAGAGGTCATGGTTTGATTCCCAATCAAGGCACATGCCCAGGTTGCAGGTTCACTCCCCAGTAGGGGTGTGCAGGAGGCAGCCTATTGATTCTCTCTCATCGTGGATGTTTCCATCTCCTGTTCCCTCTCCCTTTCTCTCTCTGCAATCAATTGGGGGGGAAACACCAAAAAACATATTAAGACTTCCTTCTAGCCCTAGCCAGTTGCTCAGTGGTTAGTGCACAGGCTTGCAGACTAAAGGTTCATGGTTCAGTTCCCGTTCAAGGAACTCCATCCCTAGCGCCAGTACTAACTGGCGTTAACTCCATCCAATGCAGGAGGCAACCAATCAATGTGTCTCTCATATCGATATTTTTCTCTTCCTCTCCCTTCCATGCTCTCTAAAAAGAAATGAAAAAATATATATATCCTCAAGAGAGGATTAACAACAACAACAACAAAAAGTCTTTTGGCACATAAGAACTGCTGGATAACATTTGTGTAATCAGTATTTCTGTACGAGGTATAAAGTCTACTCCTGTAACAGTAATCAAAATATCTTAAAAACTGTTCACATTGTAAGAATCATTGCAGCAAAGCCTATTTATTCTTTCCCTTTCTACTCTCCATTATACACACTTTTCTCCTTGTCCGAAATATGAACATCTTCATTATAATTGAAAACAAACAAACCCAAAACACAAGGACTCTTACCACTGCCTCGCTCCCGGGAGCAGACAGACTTGATGTTGTATGATGGCTGCCGTGGATCCAAGAAGGAGACATGAGCTTGGGAGCCCACTGCATATACTGACCATTCACTTCCATAAGCCAGACACACATTCTCACGGCAGTATGGGAGTTTGGTGGAGAGGAGCTGAAAACACAGAAAAGAGATGCACCCGTGCATTACCAGAGAGCACGGAGCAGGGCACTGTTCTTAGACGCTCACCTCTGGTTTCCCTCATGTACAAGGACACAGAGTCAGAGCCAAAAGGTCAAGCCCCAACTAAGGAAATAAAAAACTGTTCCACAACTAGGTATGTAAGAGAATGATTGTAATAAGCAATATGCAGGTACTGGTTAGGATTGGTTAGGGAAAAACTCAGGCTGGAATTAAATAATCAGAAGTAGAGAGAAAGGCCAAGACCCACAGGTGGTTTCATGGGATAACCCCAGGGCTCTAAAACCAAGGTCCCACTCTGTTCTCCACCTTTCTCACTGCTCTTCAGACAAAGAGGCTCAATTCTGGCTACCCTCAAGCCTAACTTCCCAATTGTATGGGGGTTGTAGACTATAGAGAAAACACTCATAGGATTGGTTTAACCCCAGGTAACCCCAATCTGTCTTTTTAAAATATATATATATATAAGTTTTATTTTTTAATATATTTTTATTGATTTCAGAGAGGGAGGAAGGAAGAGAGAGAGATAGAAACATCAATTATAAGAATCATTGATCGGTTGCCTCCTGTACACTCCCCACTGGGGATGGAGCCTGCAACCCAGGCATGTGCCTTTGACTGGAATAAAACCTGGGACCCTCCACTGAGCCAAATCGGCTAGGGTCCCAATCTGTCTTAACCCTGGTCCTTGTTGTTAAACCAATTCTCAATGATTGCCTATTACATGTAAGGCACCAAGCAAGTGGGGTTAAAAAACTATTAACACCAAAACCAGTTTGGCTCAGTAGATAGGGCATTGGCCTGCGGACTGAAAGGTCCTAGGTTCGATTCTGATCAAGGGCATGTACATTGGTTGTGGGCACATCCCCAGAGTGGGGTGTGCAGGAGGCAGCTGACTGATGTCTCTCTCTCATCGATGTTTCTAGCTTTCTATCTCCTCTTCCTTCCTCTCTGTAAAAAGTCAATAAAATATATATAAAAAAATCAATAAAATATATTCAAAACAAAACTATTAAGATATGAAGGAATCAATAATTCCTAAGACTTTGATTCTTCTTGTAAAGAGTTTATCACAGAAGTAACAAGTAGCAAAGGCCTCTAGGATGAGAAAAGGGCAAAGGATCCAAGGTAGGCTTAACTTCATGCAAAATTTGCTTGTAAACATTATAAATCCAAACCATATTCTAATTATCTTATTATTTCAAAAATGACTTATCTTAGTTTAATTGATCGTCAGTTGCCAGTGGTTCCTAACATTTACGCTTTCCTGAACTCACAACACGCCAGAGTCAACAATCCATAAACAAATGTTTAAATGCATTGTGGATTGGGGACTGAATTTCTCAGCAAGCCCTTGCAAAGTGAAAAAAGTGCCCCCTATGATCTCCTTTAAAGACTTAAAAAAAAAATTATATATATATATATATATATATATAATTTATACTTATGTTTTCAGAAATGAGAGGGATAGAAACATCAATGAGAATCACTGATCAGATGACCCTGCACGCCCCCTACTGGGGATTGAGCTGAGCATGTGCCCTTGACCAGAATCGAACCTGGGACCCTTCAATCTGCAGGCCAATGCTCTTAGCCGAACCAGCTAGGGCTTAAAGACTTTTAGGAGAGGCATGCCAGACTCAGAATTTCATGCACCATGGAACCACATGCCCAAACCCTTGATTGGTGCTTTAGACAAGAAGGAAAAGGCTCAGGGAGAATTAAAGTATTTTAAACATAAGGTGAATTTTTAGGTAAAACTATAAAGTCATGCTCATCATACCTTAGACAGTGTATTTTCAGCCTTCCAGAGATGAAAATAGCCATCCAGAGACACTGCTCCCAATTCCTACAAGAGCAATGAAAAACAGTTATATTCCAATCTGTAGCAACTAATATACAACAGTAAGCAGAAGTCTTAACGTTCAGGTCCTCCCATTCTTCATTCCTATCCCATGGTTTGATTTCAGCTGGTGCCAAGGAATATCATCTTATTATCAGCCCTATGAAATGCAGTTGGACAGCTTATTAAACTGATGCTTCTCCTTAAAAGAACTCAAGTAATTCCATTTTCTAGTAATAACATAAAGCCCTTACTATACAATCATTCCCATGACATCATGTTTGACAGAACAGAGCACACACATGAAGGACAGTTTTGTGTGTCCAGTGTGAGAGCTTTTACTAATGTAAGTGAAAGGTCTAAGCTTATCCCTAAGCCATAAGTATGGAAGGGAAATAGAAGGCCAAGAGAACTACCCTTCATTGTGGCCTGACTCAGATTTTGGGAGAAGCCTTTTCCTCTTCTGGCTCTAGTACTCCATTCCCAACACTACTGAAGACCCCAGTTTCAGGAGATCTAATGCAGTGATTAGGTAAGATCTGGTGGCAGTGTTCAGAAGAGGAAGTGAAGAATGAAAAGAAACTGAATACCAAAGAGATAAAAACCCCTGCAAAGGCATAGTGATCCTGGGGAAACTCTTGAGTGGCTGACCCATAAATATAGACCATCCAGAGAAATACAGCAGAGCTCAATACACAGGATTGGTTTCAAAACCTGTTATAATTTCTCATCAGCATCCCTTAGCATTCAAGAGGTGCTCTGTGGGCTCAGCACCAAGCTATGCAGCAAGCACTGCCTCGGGGAAAGAGAAGGAAAGTACATCTTCCAAGACATAAGCCAAGAAGTTGAAGAGTAATGGGCTTCGGGAAACCTTTGGCAAGCTCATACCTTGTTGTTGTTGTTGAAGGCCAGAGCACGGACCTTGCAGTTGTCAGGGTTTGTGTCTTCCTTGGGGATGTCCTTTAGGGCCTTGTGAGTGATGTGAGCATACACAGGGACCTGTGACACACTGTGCCTTGCATCACTTCTGTTTAACACATCATCTGTCACCTCCCAAAGTCCCATAGAACCATCGCGTGAGCCTGCAGGTCAAGGAGACCACAAATGTCAGATATACTCAACTCTCTATTTTTTTTTTTTTTTTTTTTACAGAGAGGAGAGAGGGATAGAGAGCTAGAAACATCGATGAGAGAGAATCATTGATTGGCTGCCTCTTGCACACCTCTCACTGGAGCTGTGCCCACAACCAAGGTATGTGCCCTTGACCGGAATCGAACCCGGGACCTTTCGGTCCGCAGGCCGACGCTCTATCCACTGAGTTAAACCGGTTTTGGCTATACTCAACTCTCTAAAAGACAGTCCAGCAGAAGCCAAGATGGGCTATTTTAGTCTAGCTCTTTGTACATCATCCTCATATGTGCTGGTGCTTATTCAGGTGGCCCACCTCAAAACAGAGAGCAATATGCATTTTAATGGCTACACCAAGGGAGTGATTTGACTAAAGTCTAGGATTTATTTATTTTTATTTTTTAAAATATATTTTTAGCCAAAACCAGTTTGGCTCAGTGGTAGAGCGTCGGTCTGCAGACTGAAAGGTCCCAGGTTCGATTCCGGTCAAGGGCATGTACATTGGTTGCGGGCACATCCCTGGTAGGGGGTGTGCAAGAGGCAGCTGGTCAATGTTTCTCTCTCATCAACGTTTCTAGCTCTCTATCCCTCTCTCCTCCTCTTTGTAAAAAATCAATAAAATATATAAAATATATTTTTATTGATTTCAGAGAAGAAGGGAGAGAGAGAGAAAAAAAAACAAACACATCAGTGATGAGAGGGACTCATCAATCGGCTGCCTCCTGCATGCCCCCTATTGGGGATTGAGCCCACAACCAGGGCATGTGCTCTTGATCGGAATCAAACCTGGGGACCTTTCAGTTCCCAAGCCGACACTCTATTCACTGACCAAAACTGGCTAAAGCTAAGGTCTAGAATTTAAAATATAACATTTAAGTATAACACAGTTGATGAATTTTTAAAAAACATACTTTGATAAAGCTCAGTAATTTTTCAAGCCAAAGCTTTAGGTCACTTGTGCATGCACACACAAGTGATTTCTACTGGGCAATCGAGTTTGGGAATCTCCACTTTACATCAGTTGTTGCTTAACCTTTTCTGAGTCTTGTGACCCTTCAAGAGACTTAGAAATTTCTTTAGAAAAATATACAAAAATACCACATTGTACACTTATTTTCAAGGCAATCCATGGGCCTCTTAAAGGCTTTCCAAGGGCCCATAGGGAGCACAATCCTTATACTAAGAATGACTGTTCTACATAAAATGAATGCTTGAAAAGATGGTTTTCCTTAGTAAGTAATAATGAAGCACTTAAAAAACTAAGAACAACCGAAACTGGTTTGGTTCAGTGGATATAGCGTCGGCCTGCGTACTGAAAGGTCCCAGGTTCGATTCTGGTCAAGAGCACATGCCTAGGTTTCAGGCTCAATCCCCAGTAGGGGGAGTGTAGGTGGCAGCCACCCAATGATGTTTTTCTATCTATCCCTTTCCCTCTTTCTCTTAAAAAAAAATTAAAATATATATATATGTCACACACACACACACACACTTAAAAAAAAAAAGAGAGAGAGAGATGGATTATTAGCTCTAGAGTATAGAAAATAGAAAAGAAATTGATGGATAGAGAAATATTTTAGAAAATAGTATCAACAATGGCTCGGTAAATCTAAGGAAACTAAAGAGCCTAAAATGAGTCTTAGTTCCCTAGCTATGCAATCGGGTAGAAGATGGGATGATAGGTGGAGGTAGAGGTGGGATAGTCTTGGAAGAGAGATCATGAGTTTGAATTTGCTGATTTTGAGGTGGAATGTTCAGGGGTTGATGCCCATCATCATGTCTGAACATTAGCACTAATTAATAAGTATTAAATATTTTCAAAATGGCAGCCACTAGGCATTATCTCACTTAATCTTCCCAGTGACCCTCTAAATTATATAAAATTATTACCCATGTTACAGATGAGGAAACACAAGTCTCTCTCAAAAAGCTTAAGGAACTTGCTCAAGATCATAGTGCTAATAAGTGGTAAGACCAGGATTCAAATTCAGGTCTCTAACAGCAGAGGTAATGTTCTTAAAACCTGCTGTTATTGTTCAGGAAATGTATACTTGGGTGTTATCAGCTTGAAAACATGACACTGGCAGGGTATCTGAAAGAAGAGAGGGGTGGAGCCCAAACAAAGACAAGTCCTGGCATTCACCAACCAAATTTAGTGCAGGTTACTGACATGTAAACAGTCCGTCCCTACAGAGGTGACCTAACCACCTCAGCCTTCTCATTCCTTGGGGAGACAAATAACAAGGAATCCCACAACTTCTGAACTACTGCTAGAAAATTTTGACCTGTGAATATGCTTGTTTATATTAGATTTATTTTCCCTCTTGCCTGCATTTAATTGCCTTGCAAAGAATTAAGTAACCTCATAGAATCTAAATTTTCTCATTTGTTAAATGAGCCTAGTAATGCAGACCCTCTACTACTGTTCTGAGGATTATATAACATATGTGAAGTACTTACATTAGCAACTATTAAGATTATTTTTATCTAGAATAGGGAATTATATTTTTACACATAAGTACCCAGTAAAAATGTTTAGCACTCTGAGCCTATCTTCTAGGCTACTGTGGGTATCTAGAAAGCATTTGTATATCTCTAGGTTAACTTCTCTACACTTATTTCCATACATCTTTTTCTGCCCTAACACTGGGAAAGAAATGATACATAGCTTTTATCAATTAGAAACTTAACACTATATAGTTGTACAAAAAGTAGTTTTTGCTCCTAATACTTTATAGAACATGTTAACAACAACCATTATTTTAATGAAGCCCAACAAAAACAGGCTAACGTACCATCACACATGCTCTTTTGGAACAGGACAGAGTATGAATAATAAATAAAATTTCCTTGACTCCTAGTTGATTTTCTGTTTACTGGTCTATTTTCATTCACATTATTCCTTTTCAATTTCTAGCTTCCCTCCCTCCCGGCCACACCAAAAATCCTTACAAAAAGGCAATTTACCAGACACAGCCATAGTGTCATTGATCCATGCAATTGAAAAGATCCAGTCCTTGTGCCCATCCTTGGGGAGAAGGAAATGACAGATACAGAGAGGGGAGGGAGAAAAAAAAAGGAAATTAGTAAAATAAGAATTACAATGCACTCTTGAGAAGCACACAAGTCTGGCTGAAATATCTCTGTAAAAATTACAACTCTATCTCTGGTGATTTCAATCCCTAGGGCATGATCTCATAATCTTTAACTTCTAGCTGGAGGTGCAAGGCTGGGATAGAACTGGCATTCCTGTGAACTACAAGCATGTCTAGTCAACAAACAGCTCTGTCCTTCATAATCTGATGTCTTATTTGGGGCTCCTACATATAATCACTCACCTCTCATCCCTCCAGCCTCCTCAGTCTCTTCCTTGCTCCCTGTGACAACACCTATAACCGACATCTTTGCTGTTCCTTCTGTCTGAAACTCTCTTCCTCCAGACATCAACATGGCTGCTCCCTCATTTCCTTTAAGTCTCCCTGCTCAAATGTCATTCTTTTCTTTTTATATATTTTTAAATTTTCAATTATAGCTGATGTACAAATTTTTTTAAATTACAGTTTACACTCATTATTTTGTATGTCAAGTCAAATGCCATTCTTATCAATGAGGCCATCTTCTGAAATAGTATTTTCTACCACTTTCTATTGCTTTAGCCTGCCTTATCCATGGTACTTATCAAACTCTGACCTTCTGCTGGTGAGTACTTATTGGTGTATATATTGCCTTCCTTCACTAGAATGCAGGCTCAAGAGGATAGGGGTTTTATCTGTTTTGTTTATTGGTGGACCCCAAGTGTCTAAAATAATGCCTGGCCATAGAAAGCTCTCAGTAAATAGTTGCTGAATGAATGCTTTAATAACTTTTGCTCTCTGACTATGGGCAGCAGGGATGTGTGTGGAAACTGGATTCAAACACAAATCAACTGCTGCTGGCTCCTGAGGTACACTGCTCGCCCCTTCACCAAACACATAAGCTGTGTCAATATCCCTGCTACTTTCTCTGGGGAGTCCTCCCGATTTCTGAAATCTTACCCCCACACCTTACCACCTGAGGGCTGTGGGAGAGGGTCAATGTGAAAAAACAAGACTACCTCTAATTACAGTCATTGGGGAAACTTACATCTCCCACACACACAGGATCTAGTGTAGGCAGCCGGTAAATGGCAAGACTGTTGGGGTTGTCTCCTCCAGTGGCTAACAGTGTTCTAGAGGGATTCAGCTCGATGGCATGGATACCACAGCCCTGCTGAGTGATACCTCCAGGCTCCCGGTCCTTCAGAATGGGAATCTTGGTAATCTGGCTCGTCTGAATATCCACTACAAAGAGCTATAAGAGAAAAGGCATATAAGCTAAGTCATTCCTCTTTAATGAGGCTAATCCCGAGTACAAACATCCATTGGCCATCAGACATTTAATTAATGCCTACCACATGCTAGATACTGGGAATTATTAAAGGCACCAGCAGCGCTACCAGTCATATAAAACATGAAGATAATATAACAGAGACAAGTATAATATGCTACATGCACACAGATTAGGAAGCAGTAAATTTTGCTTGGGATTCAAAGACAGCTTCAAAGAGGACTTGCATTAGACTATGGACCTAAAGAACCTGCCTAGCCCTAGCAGGCAGCTCAGTCGGTTGGAGAGTCATCTAGAGATGCCAAGGTTATGGGTTTAATCTATCAGGACAAATAAAAAAAATCAACCAATGAATGCATAAGTGAATGGAACAACAAATCGATGTTTCTCTCTCTGTAAAATTAAATTTTTAAACCTGCTGGTCTGGGCATATTTTCAATATCAAATTTCTATCTACACATGCATAGAAACTTAGAAACAAATCACAATTCCCAGAGCACATCACAAACACTATTAAACATACCTATAAATGCTACTACGTTTGCTGGAGTGACCTAAGACATATAACAAAGTACAGGTTATTAACGTCTCACTGCTTATGTCTATCATACCATTTTGTTCTGTGCCTCTATGCCTTTGCTCATGCTGCTCCTTCTGCCTGAAATGTTCTTCTCTACCCCATTTACCAATCTAACCCTTTTTCACTCTCCAAGATTTTCAACTCTGAGAAAGTTTTATCGATAAGATAAAGGACACTCCAGAAAATCTATTTAATTCTTTATGTGATTTAAGGATTCATCCCTTCATTCACTCATGTATTCTAGGTGCTAGGAATGTAGCTACGAGTAAGAGAGAAGTAATCTCTGTCCTCATATATCTTATAGTTTCAGAAGTTGATTTAAAATCTTGTCAGCAATTGTTGTGCCAAAGCCAGATCACGTCAAATCTTTGTATAAAGTAATCCATTGCATGTGCAGAAGGAGATCTACTAGTATGAAAGGAGAAATTAGATAAACCTTAAACTTAAAATATGAAAAGGAAAGTAGCTGGACCAAGAGTGCCAGGCAGAGAGGACAGAGGAAAATTTTTACAAAGGCAGTGGAGATGGAGAAGGGGATGACATAACCCCTAAGGCAGACTATATAAGGCAGATGCTCTGCCTAACTTGAACCATTGCTTGTGTGTCCCACAGGCATTTTAAAATTCAACATGTCTAAAAGAAACCCTCTTCCTCCCCAAACTGCTCATTTCATCTAACGCCACAATCCACCCAGTCACCCAAGCCTGGATTTATCCTAGAATTCTTTCTCCCTCATTTCATCATCCAATCCAGTCCTGCCTAATCTACCTCCCTAAATATTCTTACAGTTGGCTCCTTCCACTCCATCCTCTCTTCTCTCACCACCTCTCCTCTGGACAATTGCAATTAGTCTTTGTGCTTCCAGGCAAGGCCACCATAAAAAGACTCTTCTCCATAATCAGTCATCTTCATAAAAATGGGAATCCTCCATGTCAATTAAAAAAATATCCAACAGTTCCTTATCCTATATCCAAGAGTCTTATCGTGGTGTAAAGATTCTCCTCAATCTGGCCCCTACCTATATCTTTCTAGCTCAGTGGTTTCTAACGTGGGGCAATTCGAGGACGAGTTATTAACAGTGAATTTTTTGCATTTCTTATGGTGCTAGGGGCCTCATATACAGTATATAAGTATTATTGTTATATATTTGTACATTTCAGTTCTCTAGTATATGTTTTGAAACTTTATTTGCTATTTTTTCATATCACTTCATTTTTTTTTTAATTTCTTAGTGATTTCTTTCTTAGTACTTCAACTGTCCTTTCTTCTTATTTTTCTCTTTTATGGATGCCATGTTCTTTGGAAGCTTGTTTAGACGAAGTTAATGGCCTTTTAGGCTTCTTCCATGTGAATAGAAATTCAATTTTTGAATAAGAATTATATTACCCTAGCCCTAACCGGTTTGGCACAGTGGATAGAGTGTTGGCCTGTGGACTGAGGGGTCCCAGGTTTGATTCTAGTCAAGGGCCTGTACCTTGGTTGTGGCACATCCCAAGTGGGGGGTGTGCAGGAGGCAGTTGATCAATGTTTCTCTCTCACTGATGTTTCTAACTCTATCCCTCTCCCTTCCTCTCTGTTAAAAAGTGATAAAATATATATTTAAAAAACAAACAAACAACACAAGAGTAAACTAAACTACAACCTGCAAAGATCTGAGTTTCTCCTGTGAATTTGAGGGCGGACTAAAATTTTTAAGAATTATTTTAGTCCATTCCTTTGCCATTCTCTTCATTGCCATCCAAAAAGGTGAGGAAAAGAAGTTCCATCTATTCATATCCAAGAAAGTCTAAAGTCCAACTCCTGCAGTTTTGGAGTCAGAAAAGATCTAGCCAAATTAGTTACCTATTAGCTGTGTGATCTTAGGCAAGTCACTTAATCTTTCTGAATATTATTATCTATAAAACTTGAATAATATTATCTATCTCTTTGGGTTGCTAAGAAATCAAATAAAATGTAAAGTGTTTAGCAAGGGCTCGGCACAGAATAAGTGCTTAACAAGTGATAGGTAACAGTACTATATCATGCTCATATTCGTTTAGTTTTGCAGGTTATAAGAAAAGCTTCTATTCTATATGAAAAACATTTGATACATGGGCAATGAAAAAACTGGTAAGAGTTGGGTCTGCAGAGGGCCTAGGAAACCAAGAGTTTACTTCAATCTCACCTCATTCTTGCATAGGAATGAAAAAGCACCATGTGAAGGACAGAGCTCTTTTTCTTCTTCAAAGGAAGGGACAATGATGTGGAGGAGCTGTCACAGAATCTCTCTCCAAGCTCTCTGACAAGGGGCCAAGGCTTCATGCAGCTCCTGTAACACTTCCTGCGCATTAGCCTACTGGGATCCCTGCCAGAAACTAGCTGCGTGGCAAGGTAAACTGGAGGTTCAATGGCTCCCTGCACTTTACATTCTACAACAGAAGAAGAACAAAGAAAGCAAAAGCCTTACAATCAGGAAGATTATAAGACTAGTGAGTATAACTCTGCATGTGTGAATGTGTTTGTAGACACATGCAAATGTGTTTACCGAGAAAGACCAAGTAAGGTGGCTTAGTAAAATGGTGAACTCACAAAGTTTCTAAAACTCAAGAGTATTTTAGCTGGAGCCTAATAGAGAAAGGAAAGCAAATCCACATAGGTCACACAGACATCAAGATAAAGTCTACTGGGTTAGACAATAAAAGGCAAGTGGGCAGCCTAAGTTTGCTGAAAGTTGGGGGAAGGAAAGACAACCAAATCAAAGAAGAGGAATTCATTTCCTATTTCAAACCCAGAAAATGTGGGAGAGCAAAACAGACTTAAGATCAAGAAACACAACAGGAAATGGTCAGACAATATGTATCAAAAATTAAAAATGTGTAAACTCTGCAGTTTCAATTTCAGGAATTTATGCTAAGGAAATACTGACAGGTAAACAGTGTTAATTATAGTGCAGCAATTTAAACCAGTGAAACACTGCAGGGGATTGGATAAAGACACACTCTTCAATGGAAAGGTATGTACACATCTAATACCTTTATAAAATAAAAAAATAAAAGACACACTCTTACTTCTTGAGCATTACAGCACAAAGACGTAAGAACAAGATGGTTTGTGTACTTGCCCAATGAGAAGCAAAATCTCTCTCTAGGTGCTATTTATTTAATATATTTATATTGGTTTCAGAGAGGAAGGAAGAGGGATAGAGAGATAGAAACATCAATGATGAGAGAGAATCATTGATTGGCTGCCTTTTACATGCCCTTCACTGGGGATTGAGCCCACAACCTGGATAGGTGCCCTGAATGGGAATCAAACCTTGATCTCCTGGTTCATAGGTCAACACTCAACATTGAACTACACTGATCAAGTGTGCTATTTATTTTTTTTTTAATTTATTTCAGAGAGAGAGAGAGAAAGGGAGAGGGATAGAGAGAAACATCGATGAGAGTGAAACATGATTGGCTACTTCCTACACAACCCCTACCTGAGATCAAGCCCAAAACCCAGGTATGTGCGTATGTGTCCTGACCAAGAATCAACCAGCAACCTTTTGTTTTGGTGCATAGGATGATGCCAACTAAAGCACACCAGTCAGGACTCTCTAGTTTTATTGAGCTCCAAAAACCTCCCTTGTGGCCAAAAAGGGAAACTCCTTTTACTGTATATCCAGTCACTGTATTTTCAAACCCCTACTTCACTCTCCCCAGAGAAGATATATAATATATAAATGTGTTCAATTTTTATCAGTAAACAAGTAATGAATGGTAACTGATCAAGGCTACTTTCACTGTTTCTTTAGGCTAAGAAAAAACAAGATTTATCTAGCTGAAGTAACATTTTTTAAAAATAATCATTTATAATACTGTATCAGCAATAATAGAAATAAAAAGTGTAAAAGATCACTCATGTCCTCTTTTTTCCAAGTCTGTTTTCATTTGTCGAGTTTGTTTAGTCCTTTGCCACTTGCATGTATAACTGTGCATAGCTACAATCAGCAGAGATCAATTTTATTTCATTCCATTTAACATATCAAATGCTTTGCATGTTTACTCTTAATAATTATGATAATAACTACATATCATGCAGACTTGATTTACCATAAATTACTCAAGTATTCTACTGTTAGCATTTAGCTAAAATAGCTTCTAATAATTATTTTGTTAAAAAAAAAAAAAACTTCCTTTGGATAAATTCCCTAGCCTGAAAATATTAGGTCAAAGGGTATATTCAACACATGAAATGTACCAGGCTTTTGAAGCATAATGCCAAATTACTTTAAAAAAAGAGTTTTAGTAGCAACATTGTTGTTCCACCACTTCTCTATCAGAACTGGGTATTACTACTCTGGGCATGCACCTCAGTCAGAGCGTCATCCAGATAAGCCAAGGTTGCAGGTTTGATCTCT